CTGACTCTGAAACTCCGCCTGCTGTTCCAGAAGTAGCCGCATGCCTGGGCGCTTCATTAAGCCAGCGTTATCATCCGTGTCCGAAGCGGTCGTGCCAATGTCTACCGAAGCGTCGGTATCAGAGTCCCTCCCGAAGCCGCCGCCCGAGCTTCTTATGCTCAACGTCACCTCCCCCGTGCGAGTATACGACCATATATCCAGGAATCGCTGCTCCGACCACCCTGAGTACCACCAATTCGAAGCTACCATCTCAATGACGCCAGATGAACCTGTCACACGAGTCAGCGATCTTGTCACCAACTTGAGCATATTCATGACGTCGTCTATCATGTCTCCGATGCTGACACGCTTCCAGATCGTTGTAGCAACCGAGGACACTGTGCCAATGCACTTGTAACTCCGTGCCGCCGCTCCAATCGAGATCGTGCCCTGCATGAGCCACCAGACGAAGTTGGGCCGCGCTGTCCACTTCTCCCGGGAGCCCCCGCTTTCTCCTTCGGCTTTGGCCTGGGCATTTCCCTCGGGAGGCTTAGCCGCGAGCCACCAGCGACAAGTCAGCTTCACAGAGTCGTCCTCGGTCTTCTACTTGTCTTCCTTGGAAAGTCCGCCAAAACAGCATACTTCCCAATGTAACCCCATGCCCACGATAATAATGTACCCCCCCCCCTTAAGTCGTTAGAGTTTTTATCGTCGACCAATAAGAGTTTGGTCGGGGGCGCGGGGCGCGGAGGCCAAACTTCATTATCACCTCGGAACGTTATGTTGAGATAGCAAGATCAAGTTATGTTGAAATAGCAACATTAAGCGAAACGATCACACTTTTTTCAGGATGTCTCAAGCGAAACCAAGAATTTTGGGAGGCAGGCTCAAACGAAACGAGCAATGTTCCAAGGATGTCTCAAGCGAAACCAGTAATTCTGTGAGGATGTCTCAAGCGATTCGAGAAGCTTGTCGAGGATGTCTCAAGCGAAACAAGAATCTACTCGAGGATGTCTCGAGCGATTCGAGAAGCTTGTCGAGGATGTCTCAAGCGAAACAAGCATATACTCGAGGATGTCTCAAGCGAAACAAGCATATACTGAAGGATGTCTCAAGCGAAACGATACGTTTCTTAAGGATGTCTCAAGCGAAAACAACAATTCTGTGAGGATGTCTCAAGCGAAACCAAGAATTTTGGGAGGCAGGCTCAAACGAAACGAGCAATGTTTCAAGGATGTCTCAAGCGAAACCAGCAATTCTGCGAGGATGTCTCAAGCGATTCGAGAAGCTTGTCGAGGATGTCTCAAGCGAAACAAGCATATACTCGAGGATTGCTCTTTTTCTTCCTCTTCTCTTCTCTTTCTTTTTTCCTTAATTTATATTATTATTTCTTTATATATTTCTTTATTTCTTTCTTTTTGTTCCTCTCTCTCTCCCCATGCCCCCCTGAACTTGTTTATCCCTGGTGTTGATTATCCATGGCAAGTGAGGCGCATGAGCTACCCTGCACGAGCATTCAAAAAAATCAATTTTCAGAAAGCGTTTGTAAATTAAATCTAATAGATTTGGAACTTGAAATTGTTGCCCTTTTTTCTTCCTCTTCTCTTCTCCTTCTTTTTTCTTAATTTATATTTTTATTTCTTTACATATGTCTTTATTTCTTTGTTTTTTTCCTCTCTCCCCCCATGCCCCCCCTGAACTTGTTTATCCCTGGGGTTGATTATCCACGGAAAGTGAGGCACGTGAGCTACCCTACACGAGCACTTAAAACTTTTAATGTTCATAAAGCGCGTGCGAATAAACATTTAATACCTTTGAATCTTCAGATTTTTTGTTTTATCCTCCTTTCCTCTCCTCTTCTACTTCTCCTCCTCATTTCTTCTTGTCCTTTTCCTTTTTTTAATTATTCTTTTATGTATTTCCCTCAACTCTCTCTTTGTTTTCTTTATTTCTCTCTTTATATCTGTCTCTCTCCCCATGCGCCCCTGAACTTGTTTATCCCTGGGGTTGATTGTCCACGGAAAGTGAGGCACATGAGCTTCTACACGAGCACTTTTTATAAAAAAAGTAAATCATAAAGCGTTTGTAAATAAACTATAACAGATTTGGAACTCGAAATTGTTGCTTTTCCTCTTCCTCCCCTCTTCTACTTCTCCTCTTGAATTTTTCTTCTCCTCCTCATTGTTATTATTTCTTCTCTCTCTCTCTTTCTATCTCTCTGTCTCTCTCCCCCCCATGCCCCCCTGAACTTGTTTATCCCTGGGGTTGATTGCCCATGGAAAATCTGATCGTTTTTTGTTTTAATAAAAAAATCCTCTCTGTCTTTTTTCTTTCTCTGTTTCTCTATCTCTCTCTCCTCTTGCTCCTCTCCTGTCTTCTCCTTTCCTCTCCTCCTCTCCTTCCTCTCTTGCTTTTCATTATCTCCTCTTTTTTTTTTGTTTTTTTTGTTTTTTTTTTTCTTTCTTTCTCTCTCTCTCTCTCTCTCTCTCTCTCTCTCTTTCTCAATTTTCATAAAGCGTTTCTAAATAAAATCTGATGGATTTGAAACTTGTTTTTTTTTTTTTGCTTTTCCTCCTCCTCCTCTATCTGTCTTTCTTTCTATATATCTTCTCTTCTTCTTATTCTTCTTCTTATTATTCTTCTTCTTTATTATAAGATTTTTTTCTGCGAAATGTGTTATATCTTTCTTATTTTTTAATATATATATATATATAAATAATCATTTTTTTTTCCTTCTCTCTCTCTCTCTCTCTCTCTTAGCACAACCCCCCCAGCGCAACCCTCCAGCACAACCCTCCAGCACAACCCTCCAGCACAACCCTCCAGCACAACCCTCCAGCACAACCCTCCAGCACAACCCTCCAGCACAACCCTCCAGCACAACCCTGCAGCACAACCCCTCAGCACAACCTCTTGAGGTTTATTATCGTCGGCAGTTTTTTATCATCGGCAGTGGCCGATAGCAACTCCTGAGCTCTCCGGGAACACGGCGGCACGCAAATGATACGCATGTTTTTGAAAAACTTCATTCTGAACAAAAATATACTTTATTTAATTGCGAATTCCATTGAAATCTTTCGAATTTGCGAAATCGAGCCGCCAGGCGCTTGAATGCCGCACTGCGTTCGAGATTTAGGCGAAAGCGTGTGCGACGCAATTTTCTCATGACACGCATTTTTTTTGTTTTTTTTTTTTTTTTTTTTTTGACAAACCTTATTTTGACAACAAATACTATATTTGGTTGCGAATTCCATTGACATCCTTTCGAAATTGCGAATTCGAACCCGCACGCGCCTGAATGCCACGCTGCGTTCGATATTCGGGCAAAAGCGCTTGCGACGCAAATTTCTCATAAATGCGTCGCGTGCTTAAATCTCGAACGCAATGTGGCATTAAAGCGCCTGACGGCTCGATTTCGCAATTTTGAAAGGATTACAATGGAATTCGCAATTAAACAAGTTATTTTTTTTTAAATGAAGTTTTTCAAACAATGCGTATCATTTGTGTGCCGCCGTCTTCCGGGAGAGCTCAGGAGTTGCGATTGACCACTGCCGATGATAAAAAACTGCCGACGATAATAAACCTCAGCCGATGATAAAAAAAAAACTGCCGACGATAATAAACCTCAGCCGATGATAAAAAAACTGCCGACGATAATAAACCTCAGAGGAGCGCGCGGCGGGTTAGAGAGAGAGAGAGAGAGAGAGTCTCACCTCTCTCTCTCTCTCTCCCTCCCTCTCTCCTCTTTCTCTCACTATCTCTCTCTGCTCAAGGTGAGCTGCTGAAGCAGAGCTGCTCAAGCAGATGGCTGCTCAGAGAGCAGAACCAGACAATGAGACCTTCGAGAATAACAAACACAATTATTTCGAGGATGTCTCAAGCGAAATAAGCAATTGTTTGACGGTGTCTCAAGCGAAATAAGCAATAGTGTCAGGATGTCTCAAGCGAAATACGCAATAGCTTCAGGATGTTCAGGCGAAATCAGCAATAGTTTGATGATGTTTCAAGCGAAAAACACAATTATTCCGAGGATGTCTCAAGCGAAATAAGCAATAGTTTGACGGTGTCTCAAGCGAAATAAGCAATAGTTTGTGGATGTCTCAAGCGAAACAAGGGATTTGTCGAGGATGTCTCCAGCGAGATAAGCCATTGTTGAGGATATTTTAATGAAGACTAAACGCCAAGGATGTCTCAAAACGTGTTCGGTTTGGTCTCCTTTTGATCATCTCTTACTTCGAGATTATGCTGAGGTCTGGTGGGCTACTTTGACTATCTCCCCCTGAACCCCGAACTTTATTATCCCCTAGTGTTTATTATCGTGAGCATGGGGTTACGTCCGTCCGAGAAAGCACCCGCTTTTTTTTTCGACGGTTTCACGTTCCCATCCACGACCGTTCAAGCTCCTGGCTTGCCTGGCGCCAAGTGAGCCAGCATGACCACAACTTTCTACTTTCCTCTCATCTTCACGTACGTACGATTCCGTTATTGTCATCACAATTTCTGTCAACATCGGAATAAAAATCAGGCCCGAATGGGCGGCGGCTTCTCGGTCTCCACCCGGAAGATTCTGTCCTCGAAAGCCCCCAACTCGCTCCCGTTCGATCGGGCACAATCTGTTTGTGGTCGCGATGTCCTTCGTCGAAGGCCGCGCCAAAGAAGCTCAAAGGAAGAAGAGGCGCAATCAAGGATGGCCAGTAAGCACGAGGGGGAGGGACATCGATTGTCAATGAACGTATGATGGGGCTTTGGCTGTCTCGGAACTCCCTTGGGCCCTCTGGGGCTCTTTCTTAGGCCCCCGCGTGCTTTTCTTGAGGTCTCGCGGGAACTCTCTTGAGGTTTGTTGCGGCCGCTTGCGTCGTCTTGGAACCATCTTGGACTGTTTTGGCGACGTTCTGGAACGCTCTTGGGGCATCTTGACGCCCAGAGCCGTTTGCGTACTCCCGTCCCCCCCTACCAAACCAGCAAACCGGGTACCAGGGGAGGGGTTTGGGTGGGCAGCGAATTTTATTTTCCCTGCCGAGGCTACTGTGGGCTTTGCGGCACTTGGGCACGGAGTTGTGGGTTCTTCCATGCTGGCCGCGCAGTATGCTTTGAAGGATGAGTTTGCCTTGGGCCCAGCAGCAATGACATTATGCTTGAACTTTACTTACTTCGGCTGGATTCTCAAGCCAGTGTGGGGGGCAATCTCAGACTCTTGCCCAATCTGCGGACAGCGCCGAAAACCATACCTCTTTCTGAGTGCATTCATTGGAGTCGTGGCATTTGTGTCTTTGGGCTTCGCAGGTTCTCTCTGGCAGTTTGTAACTTTGTTTACATTCGCTCACCTCTGCATGGCTATCCTATCCGTCATCGCGCAGGCTTTGATTGCGGAATGCTCATGTGGTTCAACTGATACTGATCAGACGTCTTTCGGTTTCTCGTCCTACTTCGGCATGAAGCAGACTGCAGCGTCGCTCTTTGTCTACGTGGCCGGTTGGCTGCTGGATCAGCACCTGGAGCCACGGGCGGAACCATGATTCTGTTGCAGTCCAGCTTTGTAACATCCTGTGAGGGAGGCTTGCTTGCATTCCAGAGTCGGCCAAAATTTCGACCCCCAGAGCTCTCGCGGCCAGTTCCTGGGGTCACAGGGCTTCTCCCGTTTGGTTCACGTGCTCCCCAAGCGCTTTTCGGAAGGACAGCCTCCCCTCGACCGCCACGAAGGGCATGTTCGGAATGTTCGAGAGCTTCGTCCCTCAACAGCGTGGTTCCACATTCACATCTGCCCCCTGGCCATCACACTTGTGCGTGTGCGTGTGTGGTACTCTGTGCTCTGGTGCGTCCGCTGCGGCTTGCCTTGTCCGGCTGGGCACTGCTTGTTCTGTGCTTCCCGCCGCCTTTCCTGCCTGTCCTTTCCCTTGTCCTTCCTAGGCCTTCGTCATCGCCGTCTGGCTGGAGTGCGCCTCTACTTCCACTTCCTGGTCACTGTTGGCTGTTTCTCACCCCCTCTGTCCATGCCCCGGTATGCGCATGGTATGGATGATCTCTTGCGGATCCCTGCCCCTTCTTGTGTGGGGCCGGCCGCGCGCGTTTCTAGTTCGCTCCGTTACTTGCTCCGCCTCGTCGCCGCGCGCAAGGCTGCGATGGCCCCAAAGTGTGTGGCACTTGGGTGCTCCGTAGGGAGGTCCCTGGAGGGCCTGCTGCGGACCTTGGGGCCGTCTTGGGCGCGATGGTTCTCCCGAGCTCTCCCGAGGAGGCTCGGCAGAACCATCTTTGGTCCGCTTGGACGGGTGCGGGTGCTGTGGGGATTCGCATAGCCCTGGCCACAGCTGACGTGACCCCACACACGCCATATCGTGCAGTCAGGACCGCGACTCGTGCTAGCGCGCTGCTTTGCGTCCAGTCGGGAGTTTTTGGTCTTGGCGTATGCGTGCGCACATCGCGAGTGTGCGCAGACCCAACGTCACCAGCCCAGAAGTTTGGCGCGGCATACGGTGCCACAGCTGGAGATCTCCACCACATGCCACCCATGGGCCACGTTGGTCTTGCTGCTTGCTGCCTCGTGCGTTTCGACCAGCTAGAAGCCCGTCGTCTCTATGGGTCGATGCACGGGACGGTTCCAGATTTTGAGTCGACGGCAGCATGGAACGGGAGAGTTTTTTCCCCAACCATCCTGCAGTGTTGGGCCCTCGTCTTGAAGAGACATCGTCCCGCGTCTCCTCCTCTCCTCCTCTCTTTCTCTTGCTTCTTTTCTCTTCCCCCTCCGCATGTCCACCACTTCAGCGCAGCCACTACAACGCTTCGTGGCCCCATAAGCAGCTCCACAGAAGGCCTCAGAGGCTGTGACCACATACTTCCCCCCCACCCATGTCGGCACACCTCTCACACGTTTCTTGGCCCCATAGCGAGCTCCACCGAAGGCCCCAGAGGATGTGATCACATGCGTCCCCGCCACCCATGTCGGCACGCCTCTCACACGTTCTCTTGGCCCCATAGGGAGCTCCACCGAAGGCCCCAGTGGCTGTGACTACATGCGTCCCCGCCACCCATTTCGGCACACCTCTCACACGTTTTGTGGCCCCATAGGGAGCTCCACCGAAGGCCCCGGTGGCTGTGACCACACGCGTCCCCACCATGAATTTCGGCACACCCCGTACGCGTTTGGTGGCCTCCTGGCACATCCGTCCCCGCCATTCATTTCGGCATACCACTGACGTTTCGTGGCCCCCTAGGGAGCTTCACCGAAGGCCCCAGTGGCTGTGACAAGCTGCGTCCCCGCCGCTCAATTCGGCACACCTCACGCGTTTCGTGGTCCCCCGCAGGCCCCAGTGGCTGTGAGCGCATGCGTCCCAGCCACCAATTTCGGCACGCTTCTCACACGTTTCGTGGCCCCATGGGGAGCTCCACCGAAGGCCCCAGTGGCTGCGATCACATGCGTCCCCGCCACCCACTTCGGCACACCCCTCGCGCGTGTCGTGACTCAATGGGGAGCGCCACCGAAAGCCCCAATGGCTGCGCCCGCATTCGTCCTCGCCACCCGTTCCGGCACACCCCTCACACGTTTGGTGGCCCCATAGGGAGCTCCACCAAAGAGGATACACACCACTGCGGTATTCACAACTGCGTATGGTTGGGTCCTCCGCCAGGATAATGCAGCTCTCTGTTTGAGCATTCCTGTCGTGAAAGCCTTATGGCTGTGCTTTACATACGGAGAATGAGGAGGGATGGTGGAGGGGTATCCATTGCCCAACTTCGGGGTTCCTTTCCAGCGGCGCTTGTCCAGCTCCTCTGCCATCGAGGGTGTGTCTTTTTTCTCCTCTGTTCGTTCCTGGTGGTGGTTCCCACGCCCTGTTTGTAGAACGTAAGGTCAGTGGACGCTAGTCGGGAGTTTGGTTGTAGGTCCGATTGTGCGTGTCGTTCTGCCCATCTTTGCAGACCGACGTATAGGTATTCCCCTCTTCTGCAGGCGCGCGATGTACTTCAGCTCGGCGCGATCGTGTATGTTCCGGCGCTTGCCTTAGAGTCGGCCGTACCTACAGAATCTGCGAACCTGAGTGGCGATTCCGGCGAAGCGAAGCGAGACATAACGTGGTTCCCCCAGACGATTTGCGATTCCGAATTCTGCACAGATCGCAGGCTCGATAAGGTGTTGTTGGTGACACCATTACTGGAAGAGGCCACCGTGTTGTCGCAGGTGTCTTGGAAGAGACAGTTTGAAATATTGGCGGAGTTCAGTGAGAATAGTAACGTCCGGGCCGTGTTTGTCTTCGTTCTGGCCATGCAGGGTGTTGGTAGCCCGATAGACTCTGGTGCCATGTTTTTCTTCTACACTGACAAGTTGAATTTTACTGCCAAATTTCTCGGCGCGGTGACTGTTTCTGGGAACGTTGGCTCTGTACTCGGAATCGTAGTGTATCACACTTTATTGAGGCATTTCCAGATTCGCCCCATGCTTGCTATTTTGACACTGGTGAACGCCACGGTCGCCGCGGTATCATTGATTCAGGTGTTACGCCTCAACCTTGATTTTGGCGTCGACGACCACATCTTCACATTAGTTCATACGTTCTTCACCAGGCTAGTGGCAGAGATGTTGTTCATAGCTGCTGTTGTATTGTCCGCCCATCTTTGCGCGAAGTCAATCGAAGGTACAACCTTGGCACTGTTCATCTCTGTTAGCAACTTTGGCCATATGCAGGCAGGGTTATCATCTGCTGGACTCACAGCCGTCCTGGATATCACCCGGGACAACTTGGATAACCTATGGGTGCTATCACTTTTGTGTTGCACTAGCATGCTGGTGGCGTTGCCGCTAGTGCCCTTCTTGCCGGTCCTGGATTCCGAGCCGAAGGACTTCACAAGTGCTTCTCGTGGGAGGGTTATATCTGGCTAGTCGCATCTCAGTATGTTAGCATCTACCGCTGTTGGGTATTTGAGGCAAATGCTTGGGTATTTGAGGCAAATGCAGATGATGGTGCGTCGCGTGGTCTTCAACGCTTCTGCTGTGACCCTCGCGCGTTCTCTTGAGCTGATGCGCCGTACCTGGCAACGCATTCGAGTCTGGGGCTCCTCCGCGTGCCTCAGCGGCAGATGACCACCAGTGGTATTTAGCATGTATGTATGCGTAGACAGTTCGCGTCTATTCACATCAACATGCATCAGTGGTACGCCTTTCTATGCAATCATGTTGGCGTTCCCAGGTTCTGCCGGTTCCGAGACAACGTATTTTAAACGGGTGCATCGTTCAAGGGACACTGATCCGGTCCGCAGGTGTTTTTTTTTGTTGCCTTACCCAGTGTTGGCACTGATCATTTCGAACATGCCGTGGAAAGACTTGGTTGTGGAGGTGGGATTTTGGGATGACCCTATGGGTGTGTACCCATGGTGTGGGACCCCATGGGCTCACCCCAGAGGTTCCGATTCAAATAGTTCCCATCCCAAAGAGTGCCATTTCCAAAGGGTCCCGCCCGACCGGGTGCCATTCCAGCGGTTTCCATTCCATCGTTTTTCACCGCAGATGGTGCCGCTCCATGGAGACCCACCCCATCTGGTCCCACCCAATAGGGCCTCAGCGTTGGGGTCTGCGCGCAGGCATCGTTTTTCCCCTACCATTTTGTGGTGTTGGGTTTTCGTTTTGAAGAGACTGTGCCCCGCGTCTCCTTCCTTTCCTCCCGCTGCCCCCTTCCTCCCTCCTCCCATCCCTACCTCTGCCCTCCGCCTGTCAGCCAATCATTTCGGCACACCCCTCAAACGTTTCGTGACCCCAGAAGGAGCTCCACATAAGGCCCCAGCGGCGATGTTCGCATGTGGGCGTCACGCTCGCTTCGGCACACTCCTCACGCGTTTCGTGGCCCCATAGGGAACTCCACCTAAGGCCCCAGCGGCGACGTTCGCATGTGGGCGTCGCGCCCGTTTCGGCACACCCCTCACACGCTTCGTGGCCCCATTGGGAGCTCCACCGAAGGCCTCAGTGGCGGTGTTCGTGTTCGCCCTCCGCGCCCATTGCGGCACGCCCTCTTACGTTTCGTGGCTCCATAGGGAGCTCCACCGAAGGCCCCTGTGGCGACGTTCGAATGTCGGCGTCACGCTCATATCGGCACACCCCTGACACGTTTGATGGCCCCATAGGGGGCTCCACCCAAGGCCCGCGTGACGGCGTTCGCATTTGGGCGCCACGCCCTTTTTGGCACACTCCTCTTACGTTTCGTGGCCTCATAAGGGGGTTCCACTTCAGGCCTCAGTGCCAGGGCTCGCATGCCACGTTTCGTGGTAGTGAGCATCATTTAGGGCCCCAGTGGCACACCCCTCACACGTTTTGTGGGGGGCGCACACCCGTAGGGTGCTGAGCGGGCACAAGTCGCAGGTCGGCCGACGGGCCCTGCGGCGCCGCGGTGCGTGCGACGCGCGCCGCATGCAGCCCGACCGCAGCGCGCACCGCCCGCAGTCGCGTCTTTGCGCTTCTGTGTTGTTTCGCGCGGGCCTGCCGCGGTCGCTCGCGCAGGCGCGCCGCGGGGATCGCGCAATGGGCGGATCGCGGCGCGCCTTGGCGATGCTCGCTTCGCAGGTTGTCTATTATATTGATTTGGGCACCGCGCTCGTGCGGCGCTCGCGCGGCGCGGGCCCGTCGGCCGTTCTGCCATAATGTTGAAGAGAGGTTGTTTCGTTGCGGTGCGCGATGGGCGCCTTTTTCGCTTGTGCTTGTTCTCTATTCATACTTGGACGCGGGACGGCTTTCGCCTCTTCGGTACCGCCGTTCCCTTTCCTTTGGGGTCCGCTCTGGGCTCCCTGGCCGTCGCCCCGCCTGTCCCTGCCCGCGTTTCCCTGGCCTGCCCCCCCCCCCTTCTTCGTCGGCCCGTCGGTCGTTGGCCCGTCGGTCGTCCCTCGTCCGTTCGTCGGTCTGTCGGTCGTCCGTCGTCCGTCTGTCTGGTGGGTTCTCGCCGTCGCCGCCGCGCCCCCCCCCCCTGGGGTCGCTGCCGCCGCCGCGGTGTCGTCGTCGTCGTGGTCTTCGTCCGTGTTTCGCCCTGGCGGTCGTCGGGCGTGGCCTCGCTCGGCCCGTCGGTCGTTGGCCCGTCGGTCGTCCCTCGTCCGTTCGTCGGTCTGTCGGTCGTCCGTCGTCCGTCTGTCTGGTGGGTTCTCGCCGTCGCCGCCGCGCCTCCCCCCCTGGGGTCGCTGCCGCCGCCGCGGTGTCGTCGTCGTCGTCGTGGTCTTCGTCCGTGTTTCGCCCCTGCGGTCGTCGGGCGTGGCCGCCGCCGCCGCCGCGTCGCCGCCGCCGCCGCCGCCGTCGCTGCGCCGTCGCCGTCCGCCGTCGCCGCGGCCCGCCGTCGCTGCTGCGTCGCCGCCGCTGGCGCCGCCGCTGCCGCCGCGTCGTCGTCGTCGTCGTGTCGCGTCGCTTTTTCCTGGCTTCGTGCCGTCTCCTGCGTGGCCCGGCGTCGGTGGTCGCGCGCGTGTGTGTGTTTTTGCTTTGCTTCCCGTTCGCGGGAGTCCACGGTGCTACAGACGCACCCGCACTCGGGCGACCCGACCGAGGGCGATCCGACAGCGCGTTCATAGCGCTTGTGAACAGGCGACCCGCTCGAGGGCGTCCTGTCGTTGGGCTACCCGACCTAGGGAGTCCCAACGGTGCTACTGACGCACCTGCACTCGGGCGACCCGATCGAGGGCGACCCAGAAGCGCGACCATTGCGCTCGGTTACAGGCGACCCGCCCAAGGGCGTCCTGTGGTTGGGCTACCCGACCGAGGGGGTCCCAACGGTGCTACAGACGCACCCGAAGTCGGGCGACCCGATCGAGGGCGACCCGACAGCGCGACCATAGCGCTTGAGCACAGGCGACCCGCCCGAGGGCGTCCTGTTGTTGGGCTACCCGACCTAGGGAGTCCCAACGGTGCTACAGACGCACCTGCACTAGGGCGACCCGGTCGAGGGCGACCCGACAGCGCGACCATAGCGCTTATGTTCAGGCGACCCGCACGAGGGCGTCCTGCTGCTGGACTACCCGAACGAGGGAGACCCAACGGTGCCACCACCGCACCCGCACAACGGTCCGTAGCGCCGGCTTTGCCGTCGCAAGTGCGCCCGCCCTAGCGCGGGCGACACATGTTCGCCGCCCCGAAGTCGGGCAAGTGTGGTGTCGCGTGTTCGTGCATTGTCCCGTGGCGCGCGCGCTCTCGTTGGTCCTGCGTGCTCGCCCGGCTGGACGTTTTCGGTCCGTAGCTGTTTCGCTCGAGCGAGTGTATTGCTTACCTTCCCGTCGTGCGCCCTCGTGGTTGGCTCCACTGCCGCCTGCCATGTCCGCGCCGCTCCTCGATCTTCTCGAGTCTGGGGTGGGCAGGCACACGAAGCGCGACCGCGCGTGGCTGGAGCCAGTGGTCGAGGTGCTGGCGACCAACGGCATCGAGAGTCCGGAGGACCTGGTCAAACTCAACGTCAGGGCCGCGACCTTCCAGCTCAACGGGCCGGTCGAGGGCAAGGTCGCTTTCCTCGAGCGCGCCGTCGCAAAGGCAACCCATTCCGCCGTGCAGCAGGCAGCTGCCGAGGCCGCGGCGCCAAGCGGTTCACAGGAGCCGGCGAGCGCCCTCCTGCAGGCGCTCCAGGGCGGCCGCAAGCCAGCGGTCCACGTGGACATCGCCGCAGGCCTGGGCGGCATGACCTTGGCGGGCTTGCCGGCGTCGTGCTGGCCGTCTCCGCAACTGACCGACTGGGCGCAGGGCCAGGTCGAGGCCGCGGAGAGCAAGGGCATCACGAAGCCTTTCCTCTACATGCCGATCAAGAAATTCCTCCCGTACTACGCGGCGGACAAGAGGCAGCCCGACGATCCCGAGGGGGAGTGCGGCGTCGAGCGGTCCTTCGCGCAGGAGATCGCTCGCGGCATCTGCCAGGCGAGGGGCCCCGACAAGAAGCAGGGGGACCTGCCGAGCATCCCGCAGTGGTGCGTCGCGTTTGACAGATGGGCAATCGTCGCGGCGCTCTCCGGTCAGATGCCGCTCGCGGCGTCCATGGCCCACAAGGAGGTCGCGATGCAGCTCGCCCTGTCGGCGCGGGCCAGTGAGCGCGCGACCGCGATCGCCGTCTTCTACGACGAGATCGCCCGGCGCGAATGGGCAGACCTTTCAGCGGGCCTGGGCGCCTTCGACGTCGCCGCGGCCGCGCAGTCGCAGAACGCGGCCGCCATGCTCCGGGCGGGGCGCGAGCGCGACGCCCGCGGGTTCCAAGTGGCGCACGACCGAGCTCCAGCGCAGTCGAAGGGCAAGGCAAAGGGCGCCGGCAGGGACCACAAAGGCGGCAGCGACCGCAGCGCCAAGGGCGGCAAGGCCAAGGGCTACGGCAAAGGGCACAAGGGCAAGCCCGCGAACGACTCTCACCGCTGGCAGGGGCGTTACTCGTCCGGGAGTGCCGCCAGCGGGGCGCAGGCGCCGGTGACGCCAAGCAAGCGCCAGAAGAGAGAGTGAGGGGCCGCAGCCGCCCCGCCCGACGCGGGGGCAGCACTCCCCGCGCACCCTGCGCAGTCAGCCGCGGAGCCAGTGAGGGTCCAGTCAGGTGCAGTTCTCCCCAACACATCCTGCGCTGATCTGAGTTGCTTCCAGTCGGCATTCGACGCTGCCAGCGCGCAAGCTCTGCGCGGCGAATTAGCGCCCGATGAGGTCGAGGCGCTGCGTTTCACGCGTGAGGCGCTCGGCCGCCGCGACGCGCAGCCGAAGCGCACGGACGTGCAGTGCGAGTGCATGGAAGCGTTGCGGTGGAGCGCCGCGCGTAGCCTACGCCAGTGCATCAAAGAACGCGAGGAGCGCGTTCGGCGCATCGAAGCCCGGGCGGCGCACTTCCAGGCGTCCGGGGAGGCCGAGGCCGCGAGAAAGGCAGCGCCACCGGAATTCAGGCCGCTTGTCGCAGGCGTCAACATTCCACTTTTAAAGGAATTGGCGCGTGAGTCTGAGTGGCACGACGCAGAGTGCATCGACTTCTTCTCGCGAGGCGCCCCTCTGTTGGGTAACCTAGAATACAGCGGCAACGGTCGCGCGCTCAGCCCGGAAGAGCGCGCGGGCGACACTAGCGCTGAGGTAGCCCGTTTGCGTGCCAGCGCGCTCGCGCGCAACGACTTGATACTTGCATCAATTCGCGAGGATCCCCTCGCCAGCGAGCTGCTCCGTAAGACGCGGGAGGAGGCGGACTTGGGTAGGATGTCTCCGCCGCGGGCTTTTAGGCCCGACATCTCCGCGGCCGAGCTTGCCGCTGCTTGGGGCGAAACAATTCGTCTGGTGCCCAGGTTTGGGGTCTCGCAACCGAAGCCCGACGGGTCGCTGAAAGTGCGCCCGGTGGATGACTTCACGCGCTCCAGGGTGAGCGGCGCGTGCGCTCCCGCCGAGGAATTAGGCGTAGAGGGCGCGGACCAGCTGGTAGCGGTCGCGCGCGCCTTCTTCGGGTTGCACGGCGCGCTTCCCGAGCTGTGGAAAGCGGACATAGATTCCGCTTGCCGCCGCATCCCGTTGGCCCCCGCCGATAGGTTGGCCGCTGTCAGTGTTTTCAAGGAGTGCGGCCGCCCGTGGTGCTCGCAGCACTTGGTCTGCCCGTTCGGCGCGCTAGCATCTTGCCACGACTGGGACCGCGTGGCCGCCATGCTCTCGCACTTCGCAAGGCGGCTCGCCAAGCTGCCAGTTTCGCGATACGTAGACGATTATTTTGCGCCAGATCGCCCCGGCGCGGCCGACCACGCCATGCGGTGCTTCGCTCGCATCGTCAGAGCCGCGCTCGGCAGCGACGCAGTAGCCGACGCGAAGCTGGCGCACGGGGCCCAGCTGGTCGTGTTGGGGCTGCTCTTCTCTTTCTGTGCGCAGGGCGTGCGCTGCGAGCCAGCGTGCGACAAGCGGCTCAAGTGGTCGTCCGCCATCCGGCATGCTTTAGAGTGCGGCACGTTGCACCAGGGCGCTGCGAAGAAACTCGCGGGCGCTCTCGCATGGGCCGCGCAGCACTTGTTTAAGCGCTTGGGCAGAGCAATGCTCCGCCCACTCTTCGCGCACCAGCACAAGCGCTCCAGTCGTATCGGGCGGCCTCTCGAGCTCGCGCTGCACTGGTGGGCCCAAGTGCTCGAGCTCAGGCTGCGCGAAGTGGCCAGCTGGAAGCAAGGAGACACGCCCGCGGCACGCATGTTCTGCGATGCGCGGAGCACGCCCCCTCGCGCCGCCGCCGTGCTTTTTATAGGCGGCGAAATCCTGTTTGCCGAGTGCGCGCCCGACGCAGCTCTGATGCGGAATTTCGAGCGCAGACGCGACGGCCAGATTATGGGCCTCGAGGTCTTGGCGGTCGCATTAGGCTTGTCGTCTTTTGAAGAGCGACTGGCAGGTCGGGCGCTGGAAGTGTTCTCGGACAATTCGGGGGCCGAGAGGTCAGTGGCGCGCGCGAGCGCCCGGGACTGGGATCACGCAGCCCTCGTCCGCGGCATTTGGTCTCTCGCGGCGCGCATGTCCCTGTCGATGTGGGTGCGCCGCGTCCCGTCCAAAAGCAACATCTCGGACGGGCCGTCCCGCGAGGTCTACAGTCTCTTGCACCTGCTCGGCGCGCGCCAGGTGCCAGCGGTGCTCGATGCGCGGTTTCACGCAGCCGAGGCCTGGGAGGCGCTGTGGCTCTGAGCAAAAAGAGGGAGGGCTCTCATCGTCTGTCGCTTCCCTGCATCATCGGTTGCGTCCGCGTGCAGGTTGGACGCCGCGCTGGGAGCGCCCGGCGTCTTCCGCTCCGCGTCCGCGCGCGCCGCACTGGGAGTGCGGTCCCTTCTTCCCCCCCTCCCTCCTCTCGCGCCGGCCCCCCCTTCCCCCCCCTGTGCCTCCGCCCTTCGCCCCCCTTCCCCCTCCCCCCTCCTCCTCCCCCCCGCGCCCCCCCCGGTCGCGCGCCGCCACTGCAGCCAGCGCCGGTCGCGCGGCGAGGGGGGGGCGTTCCTGCTCGGCCGCGCGTCGCGTTTCCGATCGTTTGTCGTCTGGTGGCGTGGATGTGACGCGCTTGGCGCTTGGACTGCGCAGGGCGGGCGTGCCTGGCGTTCCGGCCATCGCGCGCGCCGCCAGGCTCAGTCGCTCGTTTTTCGCGCGCAGGCAATGATGTGGAAGTTGATCTGATTGCAAATGTACTGGTCGCGAACGGTTTCGAACACGTCGCTGACGCACGCGGCGCAAAGTGGAAACGCGTAGCAGGTTTTGAGCGTTTCTCCGCAGACGCCCAAGCGCGCTTGCGTGAGATCGCGGCGGGAGTTCCGCGGCCGCCGAGCGGGCCGCCTCCAGCGCCGTCCCGTGTGCTGAAACAACCGGCGCTCGCGCGCGGCGGCCCGGGCGCGCTCGCGCCGGGTGCCGCGTGCGACAGCGCGGCGAAGCGAGAGCTGGCGCGCGCTTACAGGGCCGTGCGCAGCGTGAAATTGTCACCCGTGCCCACGGGCGGCCCTCGCAAGTCCGTCGCGAGCGGCGCTCGCGGGCCGCCGTCGCCAGTGGCCATGCAGGACAGCCCGGCCCGCGCGCGAGCTTTGGCAATCGTCGGCTCGGCGCCGCGTTCCTTCGGGTCCTGGGGGGCTGCGGTCCGGGCGTGGGTGGCTTTCGCGCAGCGTCGCCTCAACAGAGACGGCTGCAGCGCACTGCCGCCGTCGGCCGACGAGGTGTGCTTGTTCGCGCTCGAATTTCGCAACCCGCGCACCTTCGGCAATTACGTGGCACAGCTTAAGAAGGCATGCCAGTTGTTGGGCCGGGACGCGTCGGCCTTTTCGCATCCTTCGGTTAGGGGCGCCCGCAAGGCCATCGGGAAGCGGCGCCCCGTGAGGCGGCCGCTGAAGTGTTTCGTCCTGCTCTCGCACTTATCGGCTATGCTCGACTTTGTAAGTGCCGACAGCGCGATGTGCGCGCTCTTCTTGGTGTCCTGGGGGTTCGCTCTGCGCGTGCCCTCCGAGGCCCTCTTGATTGAGCGAGGCGACCCATCGGCATTTAAGGACTTCGCCTTCTCTGACGAAGACCTGCGAAGGCCAGTCGCAAGAGTCGTCATCTTCTTTTCGGGCGATTCTGCAACGTTGCATTTCTCGCGGCGTAAGCACCGCGACGGCCCGACGGTCGCGGTGCGGAATTGCTGGTGCAAACATTCGCGTGCGACTTGCATTGTGCACGCGGCGCGTAGTTTTTTCGAGGGCATTTGCGTCGGCTCGCCCGCGTTCCCGCATATGCGGCGAGTCGACGGCAGCGGCGTCGTCTCAATCGCCGTGCCCGTGCAGCGCGCGATCAAGGCGGCGGCACGGCACGCCGGCGCACCAAGCGCGGCTTCTTTTACGAGCAAAGCGTTCCGCCGCGGGCACGCGGAGACTAGGCGGAGGTGCAACGGCCGCCTTTGTGAGATCCTCCGCGGTGCCGATTGGAGTTCCCGCGCTTTCAAAGAATACCTTGATATGCACCAGCACGAGGGCGATGCGACCGCCGAAGCAGCGGCCGCAGCCTCGTGCCCAAGCGCCGGCGCGGCGAGCAGACCAGGTTCTGCATCGGTGCCTGCGGGGTAAGTCGGCCAGGCTCACGATCGGCGCGCACTGCGACCTGCACCCGGGGTTCCATTGGGTCGCGGCAGGCCTGGCGCGCCCCGACCAGGCGAGCCTGGGCGCTTGCGGCGTTGGGTTCAACGCCCAGGCTGGCCTGGTCGGGGACTGTGCGCGTCGCCGAAAGCACCCCCCACGCGGGGCGCTCGCGGGACGGCAGCCCTGGCTCGGCCGCCGCGCCCATCGTTGGGGCGTTGGCGCCCGAGGTCGGGTACGCAAGGAAGGTGCGCCGAGATTTGTGGGGGGCGCGCGCCCGTAGGGTGCTGCGCGGGCACAAATCGCAGGTCGGCCGACGGGCCCTGCGGCGCCGCGGCGCGTGCGACGCGCGCCGCGTGCAGCCCGACCGCAGCGCGCACCGCCCGCAGTCGCGTCTTTGCGCTTCTGTGTTGTTTCGCGCGGGCCTGCCGCGGTCGCTCGCGCAGGCGCGCCGCGGGGATCGCGCAATGGGCGGATCGCGGCGCGCCTTGGCGATGCTCGCTTCGCAGGTTGTCTATTATATTGATTTGGGCACCGCGCTCGTGCGGCGCTTGCGCGGCGCGGGCCCGTCGGCCGTTCTGCCTCCCGCCCGCTCCTGGGTGCGGGGCTGCCTCGGTCGTTGGCGGCCCCTTGTCCGCCTCTCCCGCCCGCCCTTGGGGTTCAACGCCCAGGTTGGCCTGGTCGGGGACTGTGCGCGTCACCGAAAGCACCCCCCACGCGGGGCGCTCGCGGGACGGCAGCCCTGGCTCGGCCGCCGCACCCATCGTTGGGGCGTTGGCGCCCGAGGTCGGGTACACAAGGAAGGTGCGCCGAGATTTGTGGCACCGCGGGGGGTTTTACCTCTTGCCCCAGTAGCCGCGTTCGCATTGCGGCCCCGCCACCATTTCGGCACCCTTCACGCGCTTCGTGGTCCTGTAAAGGGATCCACCGAAGGCGATGCCCGCAACGACGGTACTCGCAACTGCATATGGTTGGGTATTTCGCCAGTGTAATTGTCCCATCCTCTCCCTCTCTCTCTCCTCTCCTCCTCATCCCCCTCCTCCTCCTCCTCCTCCTCCTCCTCCTCTTCCTCCTCCTCCTCCTCCTCCTCCTCCTCCTCCTCCTCCTCCTCCTCCTCCTCCCCTCCTCCCTCCTCCCATCTCCGCCTCTGCCATCCGCGTGCCCATTACGGCACACACCTCACACGATTCGTGGTTTCATCTGGAGCTCCACCAAAGGCCCCCCTCAAAAAAAATAATAATAATGCATAAATTAAAAAATGGCGGTGTTCGCATGCGCGCCCCCCGCCCATCTCGGCACACCCCGCAGACGCTTCTCGTGATCCCATAGGTGGCCCCACCGCAGACCCCGGCGGAGGTGTTCACACGCGCCCCCTCCCGCCCTCCCAGCCAATTTCGGTACGCCTTCGTAGGTTTCGTGGCCCACTAGGGAGCTCCACCGAAGGCCACATGGGCTGCGTTCGCATGCGTCCCCTCCGCCCACCATTTCGGCACGCCCCTCACACGGTTCGTGGTGGCATATGGGGGCTCCACCGACGGCCTCAGGGGCGGTGTTCGCACGCGCACCCCCGCCAATTCCGGCACATCCTTCACATGTTTCGTGGTCCCATATGGTGGCTTCGCCGAAGACCCCAGTGGCAGTGTTCGCATGCGTTCCCCCCACCCATCTCGGCACACCTTGCAGACGCTTCGTGATCCCATAGGTGGCCCCATCGAAGGCCCCAGCGGAGGTGGTCGCACGCGCCCCCCCCGCCCATGTCTGTACGCCTACTCGCTCCGTGGCCCCATAGGGAGCTCCACCGAAGGCCTCAGTGTCAGGGTTAGCATGCACACCCTGCCAATTCCGACACACCGCTCACACGCATCGTGGCCCCATAGGGAGCTCCACCGAAGGCTACATGGGCAGTGCTCGCACGTGTTCCCCTTCGCCAATTTCGGCACACCGCTCACACGGTTCGCTGCCCCATCGGGAGGTTCACCGAAGGCCCCAGTGGCCGTGTTCGCATGCGCCCCCCCGCCCATTTCGGCTCACCGCTCACTCGTTTCGTGACCCCATAGGGAGCTCCACCGACGGCCCTAGTGGCGGTGTTCGCATGCGCCCCCCCGCCCGTTTCGGCACGCCCCTCACAAGTTCCATGGCTTTATAGGAAGCTCCCAGAAGACCCCACTGGCGGTATTCGCATGCGTCCCCCCGCCCATTACAGCACACCTCTCACGTTTCGTGGCCTTAGGGAGCTCCACCCAAGGCCCCAGTGGCGGTGTTCGCATGCGTCCCTCGTGCCCATGTCGGCACACCCCTCACACGCTTCGTGGCCCCGTGGGGAGCTCCACCGAAGGCCTCAGTGGCGGTGTTCGCGTTCGCCCTCCGCGCCAATTGCGGCACGCCCCTCTTACGTTTCGTGGCCCCAGATGGAGCTCCACCGAAGACGATGCTCACAATTTCGTTATGCACAATTCTGTATGGTTGTGTCCTTTGCCGGGCAAATTCAGACATCAGTTTGCAAATCCAGTTGCAACTATTTCGAGGCGGTGCAAACTACCGCATGGCGCACGCCCTAGCACAGTGTTGATGTGGTTTACCGCAGTCTTTGAACGATGGGTGGTCGTCAAGGTTGTTCCAAGCAATTATGTGGTGCTGGGTCCTCGTTTTGAATACGCATAGCCGCATCCACCCTCACTCACTCCTCCTCCTTCTCCTCCTCACCCCTCATCCATGCATCTGCCCTCCGCATGCCCTCCTCACCATCACCATCACTACGCCACCACCATTATGATCACCATCATCATCATCCTCATCATCGTCATATGTACTCCTCATCATCACCACCGTCACAATCCTTCTCCTCATCATCGTCGTCATCATCATCGTCATCGTCAACATCGTCATCGTCCATCTCATCTTCCTCATCATCATCACGATTATCACCATCATCACCATCATTGTCATCGTCATCGTCATCACCACCATCATCATCTTCATCATCATCATAATCTTTGTCGTTGTCGCCGTTGTCAGCATCGTCATTGTCATCGTCGTCATCGTCATCATCCTGACCATCATTGTCATCGTCAACGTCATCGTCATGGCCACCAGCATCATCATCAT